ACCCAAAAAAACTATTCATAGTTAAGCTTCTATTTAATGACTTGAGTATGCAAATTTTCCCTTATTAGAATAAAACTGTTATTTTAAATATATTAGATGACGAGAAAAACATGCTTACATGAGATGTGGTTCACACAATAGACGGGTTTAATTATGATGTATGTGGTGGAATAATATTAAAAATCTCTTATATTTACTCTTATTTACCACCCATAATCATGTTTTTAGACTATGTCTTTAAATTTGAAATTCTTATGAATAAATAGTTGAACATTAAGCGCTTCTCGAAACCTTTCGTATTATTGTTTCGCCCAAAACTTGTTAAATTAACTCCTAAATCTCCAAGGAAACATTAACGAAGGAAGCTTTTGTTAATATTAGTGGACGCGGAAAACGTGATCGTAGAGGCCGTGGATCACAATACTAGGAACCTGAAGTGAGCTATTGTTAGTCTACCTCCTCCCTTAATCTTTTTAATTGACGATGCCTTTAGAACCAAGCGATTTGTATTCTAAAGCATCTTCTCTCTTTCAAACTTCTTTCTCGATCTCTATGACTATAAACGTCATAGCCTTGTAATTGGTTTCCCTTGCAATTTAAATAGAAAGCCTTTTTCAAAAAAAAAACATTAACGAAGGAGACATGTTTGAAATTGTAAAAACTCATCATTTATTTCCTTCCACACTACAAACTTGCATTGCATTTAGTACAAGATTCATTTGATAGAATGGATACACTTTATAGAACAGAAACATACATCATCTCTTCCAATGAAAATTTGTTTGTCTTGGCAAACACGGTGACATGTATGACAAATTGGTCGACAAACACCATTGTTTGAAACAATCTCAACTTCAAAACCATTCACTTTGATCCTATGGCCATATTTCAAATACGGATATTTCCCTAAGATGCAATCAACATGTAGAGTTGTGTAGCAATCGTGGCAGGTGTAAAACATACTCCTTTCATTTATCTTTTCTTCACATATCTCACACCAGCACTCAAACCACGACGAGTGATCTATACAACGGTATATAACGAGTGGATGAATGTCACACTTGTATTTTACCCGTCCTGGTAAATTCACACATTTGAAATCAAAGAACTCCCCAGCGTAATGAGAATCAGTGATCCAACATGCTGCAAACCGTACGGAACGTTGAAAGCAACTGTAACAACGGTATACAAATTCGCCAAAGTCTGGTGCCATATATAAGGGATCTGCATGAGCACTATGGTTGAATGGCTCGACAAAGGAAGCACATTTAACATCTATTTTAAAACCACAATCTTCTTGGCAACACTTGTACATGAATCCACAAGAGTATTGGTTACATGCAGAACAAGTGAAGAAACCATCCTTGACCTTCATTGTGTCGACGTGTACGGTTAGTGGATGAATGTGTAACGGGCTTTCTATCTTTCGAGGAAGTTTTGCACATGTGTCGTGAAGAGAAAAATCACATTTCTTGCAAGCCAAGAAATTACCAAGTTCTATTGGAAGGATGCATGCGTGACATACCTGTCCACTTTCTTCTTCGACGTTCGCGTCGAGTCGTATTAGGTCATGGTCATGACTAAAGTGGCGTATTGATCTACCATCTATCTCCGCCAACGACGCGAGATCAACTTTAGGGTCAACCTCTTCTTCAGGTTCTCCTTCAACATCTTTGCCATTCCACACATTGTACTTAAGCATACAATATGAATGGCAAACATAATTACATGTCTTCTCAATATGTGTTCGCCATCAGAGATAGGAAGAATGTGATAGAGACGATGTGAGTGACGTGTTATCTTTATAACCTTTGGTAAGTAGATACATTCTCTATGTGCAAAGAAATCGCATTGTAAACATCCGTACGTTGTT